AGCAATGGCGATTGTTTTGGGTTTGTGGGTTTGAATTTTTCTCCCCAAATTGTCTCCCTCTTCCTTGGACTTGTAGTTGTCGTTTGTGGTTTTTGAACACATCTTGCTTTCTGCCCTTGATTTTGTTTTATGGTTCTTGAAACAGGGTCATTTGATAGTTCGAGGTTCCATTTTTGTTTGTTTTTTTAATTTAAATTTTTGTTCTGAATTTCGAGATGTGGTTCTACCATAAAGGTTCAAAATTTCTTGCCTTCAATATTGATGATGGTTGTGCAATGTTGAGTTTAAAAACATTCACTTAGGAGGTATTTGGAAAGTTTTAAAAGTACTTTTTAAAAATATTTTTTCATAAATCTAAAAAAACTTTTCTATATATTTATTTTGTATATCGTAAAATCACTTTTAAAATTATAGTTTTTTTTTTCATCCAAGCACCTTTTTAGTTGTACGAGCATGTATTTTGACTCTAATTTTTGAGAATTCAACTTTAATTCAGTGGGGAAAAACAACAACAATCTATTTCCCGTTCTTTTGATGTTTGTGAAGCTTGATTTTAAAAAAGAAAAGGCGAGTCCAGCTTGGAAGTTATTTTCCCATGTAACCATATTAGTCCTGATATGAAATCAGTCGATTCTATTAAGATTAAAGGTCATTTTTATCTTAGAAGCCATCACACAAAAACACTGACTACCAGAAAGTTTTTTTTCCACAACAATGCTGCCCCGGGAGCGTGAAAATTGTAACAATGTTGGTCAATCAACATTTGACCAGTTATGCTGAGTTGTCTCTACACATGGGATCAAAAGCCACATCAAGTGCCACATCATCATCCTCCTCCTCATTCAAAAAAAGGGAAAACAAAAGAAACATCTCCGTCTCCGTAATCATAGCGTCCATGAATGCATGAATGATTGGGGGAAAAAACTCCAACGCCAAGTCAATAATAAACCAGCACGGAGGCACGAATCACTCTGAAAAGAACAATCTTTCCCCCTAATTATTGGGTCCACGAGCACTTTACCAAAAAACACATGAAAAATTAACAATTAAAAAACCAATCTGGAAAAAAGCACATCAGTCACCCTTCAAGTACAGTCAACATAGAACAAAGACTGACAAAAAAAAGGATGGAGTAGCAAACAAGTATCCAAAATAGACAAATCAAAGAATAAAATAAATCTGGATTCATCCGCAGGATTTATGCTACCTAGAAGACGAAAGTGATGGGAGAAGCAAAATAAAATAAAATAAAATAAGCCCCAATCTATCAAACATGCAAGATGCAACGAAGATAAGTCTGGAAATCTTCTTTGTTTAGGTGGATTACTTTGTAAAGAAGACAAAGTGATGGGAGAACCAAAAAATTAAAATAAAATAAACCCCAATACCAGCCTCTAGTGAGAAATTTCAGCAATGGGAGTTGCCCCATTGCCCTTCAAGTTCATCCTGAATCATTAAGTTGAATGCCAACCTGCATTTTAGTAGTAGGAGAGGCAAAAAAGAAATAGATATATAGTAAAGTCAGCAATGGGGGAGGCAAAAAAGAAATAGATCGAAGAAGACGAAGCAGAAATTGCAAACCTGGAGCTCTGAAGATCAACACACTGTTCAGATCAAAGAAGCTCACACAACTGAAAATCAAAGAAGGTAGCACCAAAATAGGAGAAGCAAAAACAAAACTCATGCTCTACATCATGAACGAAGACTAGAGCCTTCGCGTCGCTTTCTTGTGTACGGCGAAGTCACCGGGAAAGGAGATGTAAGAGCAGGTAAGGAAAGCACAGAACAAGAATAAAAAGCTGGAACCTTGAAAGAGGTCAAGTTTAAACAAAGGGAAGGACGAGGGAGAGCAGTCCGACGGTGGCGGTGGGGGAGTAGGGAAAGAGAAAGACAGATTTCTAGATTTTTCTTCCATGGAAGAATCAGAAGCGCAATTTTTTGGAAAAATTACACTCAGGTCCCACAGAGCACAATTAATATCAAAAAGGTCCCACGAAATCGCGAAATGATTCTGAAGTCCCCAGAGACTAAGGGTGGAAACAGGCCAGGCTTTACTCTTAACAGGCCAGGCCTGTTTTGTAACCTATAGGCCTGAGCCTGGCCTGTGGCCTGTTACAGGCTTATCTTTCAGCCTGAGCCTGGCCTGTATAAAGGCCTGGCCTGGCCTGAAGCCTGTTAAAAAGCCTGTTTTTTTTTAAATTCAAATTACAATAATTTTTTTAAGAAAAAAGCTAAAATGAAAAAAGTATACATAATAATTAATTTTTTTAGTTTTGTCTTTTATTTAAATTTTAGTATCATAGGTACTGTTTTAAATCTTAATTACAATTTATAAGGATATTATTGAAAACTAATTCTAATTATACGTTAAAATTTGGGACAAAACTTTGTTTAAGTACAAAAAAATTAAGAAAAAAACTATTAATTTTACAATGAATAAAGAGAGCATCATAATTTAATTAATATAATACATAAGTTAATTAATCTATCATTCTTGGAACAAAAATTTTCTTTCCTATTTTATTTATATTTTTAAGATAGATCATATTATTTATTGATATTTTTATTTTAAATTATATTTTTATCTTTACTTGTCAACTAAACTTCAAAATCTAAGGAAGAACTAAGCTATTAACTATATATTAAAATTAAAAAATAAATTAAAAGTTCACATTAACAATACCATTAACTAATTTTTTTATATATTATAATTATAAATTTCTAACAGGCTCAGGCCGGCCTAACAAGCTTAACAGGCCTTTTAGAGAGCCTAAGCCTTGCCTATTAACTTAAACAGGCCTTCAAACAGGCCTGAGCCTGTCTCTTTTGAGAAACAAGCCAGGCTAGGCCAGGCCAAATACAGGCCAGGCCGTAGGCTCCTGACAGGCCGCCTGGCCTGTTTCCACCCCCACCAGAGACCTGTGTGTAATTAATTCTAATTGTGAAATTACCTACTTACCCTTGTTAATTTTATTGCAACAATTCGTTTACAATCTCAACAGTGGCTGTTAACAACCCAAGAAGATGTGATTGACAACCTTGGCAGTGCTCATGACAACTCACTCTGTGGAATGCCAGGGGCGTTGTTGAGGTTGTTAACCACCTCTTCTCGGGTTGTTAACAGCCACTGTTGATGTTGTAAATAGGTTCTAATTTTATTGTAGCAATTCGTTTACAATCTCAACAGTGGTTGTTAACAACCCGAGAAGATGTAATTGACAACCTCGGCAGTGCTCATGACAACTCACTCTGTGGAATACCAGGGGCGTTGTTGAGGTTGTTAACCATCTCTTCTCGGGTTGTTAACAGCCACTGTTGAGGTTGTAAATAGGTTCAAATTAATAGGGGTAACTACGTAATTTCACAATTAGAATTAATTACACACAAGTCCCCGGGGACTTCAGAATCATTTCGCGATTTCGAGAAACTTTTTTGATATTAATTGTGCTCTGTAGGACCTGAGTGTAATTTTCTCCAATTTTTTTCCTCATAAATTCGAGTAAAAAGAAAAAAAAAAGTGAGGTAGATATTACATGACACGCCACCTCAACTAAGCACTGGCCATGTACTTGCCACAGTTGCATCTTCGGAGTTGCACATTATCACTCAACAGATAAGGTCAGGCTTTCGTTTATTTGAATCCACATTGCTGCTGGTTTAAAAAAAAAAAAAACAGAGAGAGAATCCACGTTGCTGCCATTTTACAACTTTCAGGGTGATATTGTTTCTAGAAAAAAGGAAAAATTTTATTTAAGGATTGTTGTAGCAAATTAATATCAGTCAGTTCTCAAAATATTTCAAAATTTCAGTCAATCCTTTTTTATCAAAATAAAATTAAAATTAAAAGTAAGATTACAATAATACTTTTTTTTTTAAATAATAAATATTAATTGTCGCTGGAGTTTTGGTCACTGGATGTTGGAGGTTCGGTTAACGGCGCTCAGGTGGTTGTTGTCGGAGGTTGGAGCTCCGATAGCTAGAGGATATATTTTAAAAATAAGGTGGTCAAGAAAATGTTTGAACCCATAACTCCTTGGCATACCAAAAGTAATGTGAATATTAAGACAACCAAACCATTTAATCATATGATGCAAAGAAAAATATATATAACAAAATGAATCAATAATGTACAAGTGTAAGTAAACAAGTAAAATTCAACAATTCACAAGTGAAATTCAATAATTTATAAGAAAAATTTGGCGATTTACAAGCAACATAATAGAATTTACAACCTCAAATGCAAGTGTTTAAGTGTGAATGAGTAAGTAAAATTTGAAGATTTACACAAAAGTTTATAGATTTACAACTTAAATTTAGTGATTCACAAGAAACACAAGAGAATTCATAACTCAAAATGTAAGTATTTGAGTGTGAATGAACAAGTGAAATTCAGTGGTTTATAACAAAAATTCAGCTATTTACAATCCAAATTCAGTGATTCATAAGAAACATAAATATTATAAAACTAATAAGAGAATTCACAGCTTCAAATACAAGTATCTATGTTTCTTATAAATTGTTGAATTTGGGCTGTAAATGTTTGAATTTTTTGTCGTAACTCGTAAATCGCTAAATTTCACTTGTTCATTCACACTCAAACATTTATATTTTGGGTTATGAATTTCTTTTTGTTCCTTGTGAATCATAGAATTTGGATTGTAAATTCATGAACTTTTATTGGAAATCTTCAAATTTTACTTGTTCATTCACAGTTAAACACTTATATTTAGAGTTGTGAATTTTATTATATTACTTATAAATCACTAAATTTTTATTGTGAATTGTTGAATTTCACTTATAAATTGTCAAATTTTACTTATTCATTTATACTTGGACACTTACATTTGTTTCATTACATATATTTTTCTTTGCATTACATGACTAAATGGTTGTGTTGGTTTGATGGTCATATCACCTTTGGTGTGCCAAGAGTTCATGAGTTCAAACCTTTCCTTGGTTACTTTATTTTAAAAAACATATCTTCCTCCATAGGAGCTACAATGGCGGCCACTGGAGCTCTAACATCTAGCGGCGACCACCTGAGTACTGATAGCCAGAACTCCGGAGACAATTAATATTTATTTTTTTTAAAAAAAGAGGGGTATTATTATAATCTTACCCTAAATTTTAATTTCATTTTAGTCCAAAGGGGGTTGACTGAAATTTTGAAATGTTTTAGGAGTTCATTGATATTAATTTGGCTACATCGGTCCGTAAATAAAATTTTCCCCGACAAACACTTACTGGTACCTAATATTCTTTTGTAACAACTTCCGAGTTGAAAATGACTCTTAACGCATTCTATTGTGAAGGCAGAATGACTTTTAACCCATTCCGAGGTGAAAATACAGAAGACTAAAATGACTTGGCAGAAAAAATGAAGGCAGAATGACTGAACTTAGCTTTTTTTAATGGGTTTAGCCTTCTTTATTTGAAGTATTAAATATGTCAACGATATGTTCCATGTTGACTGTAGTTTCTGATTGCAGAGTCGGAGAGTTAGCATTCATAACAATGCATTCTATGCTGAGGAGAAGCTGCTTAAATCAAAATTAGAAGCAATGCGTGATTGTAACCAGTTATCTACTCCTCATTGGATTGTAAAGTTTTCACACTAGCTGTTTTTTTTCCCTCTCCTTATTACTCTATTTCTTTATTTTCCACATTCTTTATGATCCATGGTTGATATTAGGGGGAATGGGACATCTCTGAAATCTTGAATGCTTCTATACCCTTGGCATAATCTTCCTGTGCTATTTGCTTTCTGCTTCTTGCCACTTACTGGTTATGTTTATGGTATTGAAGCTCACATATTTGACCTTGGTTATCTCTAATTACTTTTTCACTGAGTGACATTATTTTTGTAATGTAATAAAATGGGATATGGATTAATATTATTGAGAAGACAATTTGGTGGTGGTAGGCATATACTTCTCTGGTCTTATATTTAGGACTGGGGGAGTATATGGTAACTTTGTATCTAGTGTATTTGGAGTCTTTTTGATTTTCAGACTTTTTTCCCTGTAGTTATTGGGACTATAAAATGGATTTCTTGAATTTTTGGCTAAATAATGCAGCATCTTCATTAGTCTGCATGTTTAGCATGCCTGACTGGAATACGTCACATTGATCAATGGAGCTCTTTTGGTCGTTTAATGCCTGCAAACTTAACCCACTGTGTGTGTGTGTGTGTGTGTGTGTGTGTGTCTGTGTGTTTGTCTGTGTCTACACTCACACCCACACAAGTAAACCCCACCACCCACCTGGGTTAGCGATATGAAGCTAATTATGTTCATTTGCCACTACACAAGTTTTAACTTGTTAAATAGCAATCGGTTGTATGGTGCTTTTCAATGCCAAGTAGTTGTTGCTTGTATGGTGCTTTTACTGTCATATTTATTTGCACTATATTTTGTTGTGTTATTGTTAGTGACTTTGAATATGGAATCACTGCATATTTTTGAAGGTAGATTTCAATTCTTCTGAACAATTTCGCCAGTCCCCAAAAGTTAACTTGCATATTGTCCAATTCTGTATTTTCTATTGGGTTAAGTATAATATATCTGTTGGTTTTTTTTTTCCCTGGGGCTGTACCATCTTCATGGCTAATCTTTCAGTTAATATATGCAGATTGCCTAGTTCTGCACTTTTTAAAACATCATGTAGCATCAAGATCTACTTCTTCGCTAATGGCAATAATATTGGGTTTATTCTCGCATGAAGGGTATATTTCTTCATTTTAATAAAAGTAATACTTTTCTCTTGTGCAAAATCTTTGTCTCTTAAAACAGGCTTGGTTGTGCAAGAAAAGTTTGTTCAGTTCCAAACCCAATCTTGTGGAAGATTATTCAGTTGAAGCAAGAAAATGGTGCTGATTAGGAATCTGTTAAGGATTTGTTAGGACTTTGGGTTAATTAAGGATTTGTTGGTCATAGTTGTATATTTGGAATGATTTTGTAATGGGAAGACGAAATAATTTGTTGTCTTTGGCCATGCTCCACCCCTTTCTAAATGGCCACATGTATCAGATTTTGGTTTATTTCTTTATTGGCTTTCGTTGTGACCTTTAGTATGGGTTATACGTGATTCTTGATGTTTCTTTTATAGCTATGGATATTTTTATGTTTATTGATTATTGAATTAAGTTGTTTGGCACTTTATTTGATATATTCCATCACTTTTATGTTTGTTTTGGAGAATGGAGAGAAGACTTGCAATGTCCAATTAAAAAGCATGATGGTAGAGTAGGATAGCTTCGCATTGTAAGTGGAATATTTAGTTGCCAATAACAAGTTTAGCATAGAAATAACAAGCGCTTTATTTGATATATTCCACATCTGTTATGTTTGTTTTGTAGAAATTAATACCATTTCTACAATTTAGTTGTCAATAACAAGTTTAGTGTAAGAAATAATAAGTGTTGAAAAACTATTAACATTAGCTTAAGTTGTAGTAAAATTGACATTATTTTTACAATTTGGTTGCCAATAACAAGTCCAGTATGAAAAATGATAAGTACTGAAAAACTATTCACAATAACTTAATTTTTAGTGGTAATCAGCATCCTTTTCACAATTTAGTTACTAATAACAAGTCTAGTATAAAAAATAATAAGTGCTAAAAAAGTTTGACAATAACTTAAGTTTTAGGATAAATTAACATTATTTTTACAATTTCGTTGTTAATGACAAATCTATTATAAGAAAGAACAAGTCTTAAAAAGTTATTAACATTAATTTAACTTTTAATAGAAATTAATATTATTTTCGTAATGGTAAGTTCAGCATAAAAAATAGTAAGTGTTGAAAAAGAGAGAATGAAAAAGAACAAGAGCTTCCTTTTGTTTTTTGTTTTTTGTTTTTAACAAATGGGATATTTTGGTATTTTATTTTATACATCATAATTCATATTTAAGACCCAGTTGATAATAATTATATTAATTCAAGTACTCATTTTGTAATTTTATAATTTTAAGGGTTTTTATTTATAAGTTTTCCATTTAAATAATTTTTTATTGGATAATATGGAAAAATGATAAAAAAAAGAATTTAGAATTTTCAGTTTCTGCTTTTTTATTCTACCAAAACAATTGTCAAAGCATAAAACGATAACTTCGGAAATACTAAAACATGAAAACTGGGGGCTGGTGGGTGGCCAGCTGGACGCCGCAAATGTAACCTCCCCCCCTCTCTCTCTTCTCTTATCTTTCTCGTAAGATAGATTCGTCGTCTTTCGTTCGCCGACCCAGCGAGGCAGCAATTCTCAGGTAACTTTCCCCTCCGTCTACATTTTTTTTTTTTGGGTTTGATTGATAATTATTTTAGTTGCTTCATTTTTAGCAGATTCTTCTTCTTCTTCTTCAGAAAGAAACGATTGATCGTTCCAACACACCAATATCTTACTAGCCGATACCGACGGAAGATTTCATGGATCTGGTGAACGAGCCTTCGATCCAACAGGGTAATCATTAATCCCTTCACTTTCTTTTTCTTTTTCGTTTGAAAAAAAATTAATCTGCAGTTTTATCTCATTTTTATTCGAATCTATGTTTTTTTTTCACTGTGTCGGTATAGTTTTCATCTCATTTAAATTAGATTCCTGTAATTTTAAGTGATTGCCGATAAAAAAACAATACATAATCTGCTTAGAAATCAGTTGAAACTACATAACCTGATAAAATGGAAAAATTATAAGTTCTTAATAGTATTAAAAGTCCAAGTCTTATTTTTTGATTAAAAAAGAAGTCAAGTCTTATTTTCTCCCATTCTTATTCCCACCTGGGTTTCAAAACCGATTTTGGGGCCAAACTCAAAGCTTCCTGCTACTTCCAACTACAGAATTAGATTTTGTTGTTGAATTGAAAAGCTTTTGATTTTTTTTTTGAATGGTAAATGATTATAAATAATTTAGGGAAAATGACAGAAAAAGAACTGAAAATTACTAAATCTCAAAATAAGATTTCTTCTTACATTTTAGTAGGTTTTGACTATACTTGACTTGCAAATAACAAAATATTTTTATAGGAATTTCTGATTTGGGATTTAGTAATTTTCAGGTTTCTTTTCTGTTATTTTCCCAATGATATATTGTCATATGATTTTATGAACTACAAAATTGCTTCTCAAACTTACGAAATATTAAAAAGTAAAACTACCAATAGATAAATATATTTGTAATTGTAATGATAAATATTTTTTTGGGGAAAAACTGTCCCTCTGTGTTCCATTATAGTCCCTGGGACACATGTAGGATTCTTCTTTTGAGGCAAAACGTACAGGTTTGCCTAGAAAAGAAAAAAACTCAGGATTTGGCTAAAAGAGGCTAAAATTTTGATTTTGCACTTGGGGACAAATGCTATATGAATGTGTCTTTCGATGAACCGCATTATTGCTCCAACAGAGTTAAGAAAAATAAAGAAAAGAGAGAAAAAAAAAAAATACATGTATTATTTTTTAGTGTATGACTGCCAATGAAATATCTTTTGTGCTTGAGCATATTCACGATAAGTATCAGCTTGTACAGATCCTTTTATGTGTTTGTGTAATTTTAAGTGCATGCAGGCAATAAATATCGAGTGTTCTTGAGCTTTAGTGGAGGCGAAGACACACAAGAATCTTTCCCTTCCCTTCTGTATTCATCTCTAAGGAAGGCTGGAATTTCTGTTCTCAAAGATGATATCTCAAGCGAACTATCTCAAAGCCCTATCAAAGCTTCTATAATTGTAATCATCATCTTCTCTCACCACTATGCTAGTTCCAGAAGGTGCCTCGACGAACTCACAAAAATCATGGAGTTTCGTAGATCATATCATCTGGTAGTTCTTCCCATATTCTATGGTGTGGATCCGTCTGATGTTTGTTATCAGGAATTTAGTTTTGGACAAGCATTTCAAGATCTCATACAAAAAATTTCACCTACCGAAGATGAATTGTCAAAGTGGAGGACAACTCTCAGTGAAGCTGGAGGCATTTGTGGGATTGTTGTGCCTAATTTCGAAGCCAGGTAATTTACTTTCGATTTTGCATTTTATTTATTTTCCATCTTGCATTTTATTTATTTTCCATTTTGCTAATATTTTGTGCGTGAGAGAGTACAATTTCTTGTCACAATCAATAACAATCAGTTATTAAAAGTTAAGTGTGATATTGATTCATAAATTGATGATGTATGGGTGGATTGTTCGCTGACAAGGAACTGGATGTTTTGCAGTTGAATAATAATAAGGATGGTGATGATGATGATTGGTATATAATGCGTGTAAATTTTAGTCTACAACAATTTATACACCCAAGTTATATAAAAATGATTTTTTTAAATAAATGTTTTAATTCAATAGTTTTTTTTGGGGGGGGGGGGACGACGACAAGCACAGTTGATTTTTGCTTGTTAGGTCCTAGCGCTTTGTTCTATAGTTTATTCATAATATCTCCTACAACCACATGTAGCATTAAAAATATTGACTTTATTTTATAATTGTATGTTTTCATATATCCAATGCTCATTTCCTATCAAGTTCATATGATTTGCAGAGATGAGAGTGAAGAAGTGAAAGAAGTTGTTGAGAATGTTCTCGATATATTGGACAAGAAAGATTTGTTTGTTGCTGCACACCCTGTAGGAGTGGATGATCGTGTGCAAGAAATGATCACAATGTTCCAAAACCATCAATCTAAAGATGTTGTCATGGTAGGGATATGGGGAATGGGGGGTGTAGGCAAGACAACTATTGCCAAAGCCATTTATAATGAAATTGGTCGCACATTTGAGAGTAGGAGTTACCTTTCAAAGATCAGAAAAGCTTGGGATCAAGAAGAGGGTCAAGTGCGCTTACAGAACCAACTTCTTTCTGATATATGCAAGACAACAAAAGTGAAGATAAATAGCATTGAATCTGGAAAAATCACATTGAGGGATCGACTTCGCCATAAAAAGGCATTGGTTGTGCTTGATGATGTGGATAAGTTGGCTCAACTGAATGCTTTAGTGGGAAGTCGTGACTGGTTTGGTGAAGGGAGTACAATAATCATCACAACTAGAAATCGACGTTTGCTCGTTGAAATCGATTGTTGTGTTTATCTAATGAAAAATTTAAATGAAAGGGAATCTATGGAGCTTTTTAGTTGGCATGCATTTAAACAAGAAAGTCCTAAAAAAAACTTCACTGAATTTTCGAGAGATATAGTTGCATATTCTGGGGGACTTCCACTGGCTCTTCAAGTCCTTGGCTCTTATTTATTTGATAGAGAAGTGGAGGAATGGGAGAGTGTATTGGAGAAACTTAGAAAATTTCCCAATAACAAGATAACAAAGAAGCTAAAAGTAAGCTTTGATGGTTTAAGTGATCTGTTGGAGAAAGAAATATTTCTTGATATATCTTGCTTCTTTATTGGGATGGACAGAAATTATGTGACACAGATATTAAATGGTTGTGGATTTTTTGCTGACATTGGAATCAAAACCCTTGTGGAGCGAAGCCTTGTGACTATTGATAAAAAGAATAAACTTGGTATGCATGATTTGCTGCGGGACATGGGAAGAGAAATAATTCGTGAACAGTCTCGAAAGCTTGGGAAGAGAAGTAGGTTATGGTTTCGCAAAGATGCACGAGCTGTATTATTAAAACACATGGTAGGAACTTTTATGTCCAATAGTTGCTATTTCTTATTAAAATGTTTTGCATGAAGCGTAAATGAGCATGAAATGATTGGTCACATGAACCTTTGTTGCAAAAAAAAAAAAAAAGGGGTCTATAAACCATCCCGTTTTGTCTTTTATTGTATTTATTTTAAAACACATTTTGTAGTCACAGTCTCTGTAGGCTTGATCACGACATTTTCTATTTTGCTTTTGGTGAGCCCAACACATCTAACACCCCTATGGGCCGAGTATACAAGAGGAAACAGCCCAACAAGAATCCTGTGTCTTTAAATGATCCCAACTGGGCCCATTAACTCTATGGAAGGCAGTGGAGAGGCAGTTTCTAGGGTTGTGTGCCCTTAGAGGAGCAAGCTTATGAACTTTGGCAGAAAGGGGAGAGCTCCAGACCTCTCTCAGGAAATGGCTACTGTTTTCTTGTTCTATTTTCTTTAATGCATTTCAATCACTGGAACTAGTTTAAGTTAGCTTTTTTATCATTTCTTCTCTTCCATTCCTATAGAAGGGGTTGTAGCTGACATATATATTGAACTTTTTGCCAATAATACTATAGTTCCATCAACTTTTAAGCGAACAAAAAGCACAAATGCACACTTCAATTTCAATAAGCTTTTACTTTTGCAGGGAACGGTAGCTATTGAAGGACTGTCTTTGAAGCTGTCACAAAGTAAAAAAATGCATTTTCAGACAGAAGCTTTTACGAAGATGAAGAGACTCAGATTACTTCGTCTTGACAATGTAGAACTTAGAGGAGACTACAAATACATTAGTAGAGAACTCAGATGGCTTTGTTGGCGTGGGTTTCCCGTAAAATACATTCCTAGAAGCTTTTATCAAAAGAAGTTAGTTGCTATTGACTTAAAATACAGCAGCCTCATACAAGTTTGGAAGGAACCCCAGGTATGCAGATTAATACTCAGTTTGTTATCTTGTTGAGCCATAACTACCCAAAATAAAACTGTAAAAGTAAAAATAATGTCAAACTGCTATATGACAGGAAGCCTAGTTTCTCTGAAAATTTACCAAAATACTTCAAATTTATAGCATTATGATAAATTGTTTCTGTGATATAGTATCATTGTAATTTTGTATTTGTTGCTTTTTTGCCAGCATATGACTTGAAAAGCTTAGTTAACTTGTCGGCATTAGCTTCAAGATTTATGGATGTGGAGTAATAGAGGGATTTGAGACGTGTAAATATATTACTCTATTTTTCATTGGAATTTATATTTTACGGCCTTCTTCATAGTTCTTTATTTTGGATTTTTGTTTTCATAGCTTCTGAATGAATCTTCCCTCGCTACTTTTGAAAAATAAAGGTGTTGGGTTTTCTTTCAATTCTTATTCTCTTTATATGTCTTGCTGTATAGATCTAGACATTATACCATCATATTGAACTGTATGTTATCATTTGGAGATTATGTATTTGGCAGTCTGTTTTTCATTTCAAGAGTTAATTTTCAATTGATGGAAAACAATGTTTTCACTTATGAGTTTTCGGTTTATATGAAGGTTTTTACATATAACGGTTTCTTCGTATTTTATTATTTATTTTTTCAGGATGTCAATCTAATTCTCCTTGAACTTAAATGTTTTCATTGCAGTTATTGAAGAAGCTGAAAATCCTCAATCTCAGCCACTCTCGTTGGTTGATGGAGACTCCTGATTTTTCAAAACTACCAAGTATTGAAAAGTTGATCCTTAAAGATTGTCCAAGTTTGACCACGATACATCATTCTATTGGGCTTCTTGATAAACTTCTTCTACTAAATTTGAAGGATTGTATTGGCCTTCGTAATCTCCCAAAAAGCATTTATGGATTAAGAAGCTTAAATACTTTGGTTCTTTCTGGTTGTATGAATATTGAAGAGCTTGGCGAGGACATAGAGCAAATGGATTCTTTGACAACTCTAATTGCTCCTACAATAAAACAAGTGCCTTTTGCTTTAACGAGATTAAAAAACATTCTGTATTTATCTGTTCATGGTCATGAAGGATTACCACATCATGTGATTCCTTCTCTCTTCCAGTCTTGGACATCCCCAGCAAATAACCCACTACCTCATATTCCAACATATGTGGGCATGCCATCATCAGTTTTGTGGGATATGCTAAACAGTATCTATGTTCCTTTCACAATCCCTAGCACTGAACCAAAGGGACAAAACTTGTTGTTGGAAGATGGATTGGATACTCCTGATTCCTTGTTCTTGGAATATCTTTTAATTCAAATTGGAAAGGATTCTCAAGTCTTTCATACACTTTCAAATTGTGTTTCACAGGTTCTCTCTCTCTCTCTCTCTCTCTCTCTATATATATATATATATATATTTGTTCCAAATAAAAAGTTGTGTGCATTTTATGTAGTTAAATCAGAGGTTATGTTTCTCTTATTCAGGGATTGAATCTTACAAAATATAGTGGTGATTGTATTCTCCCTAGTGACAATTACCCCCATTGGCTAACATTCTCGGGTGAAGGAGCTTCTGTAAAATTTGAAGTGCCTCCAGTTACTGGTCATAATCATTTAAAAGGGATGACTATTTGTTGTGTGTATATCCCCTCAGGTGATTGGGATATTAAGGCATGTGAATCTCGTATAATTTGCTTAATGATTATAAATTATACAAAGACAACCACTTTGCTCTTCACGGAAGACAAACTAAAATCCTTGGAAGAAGCAGAGATGAGAGAAATAATATCAAATCTAGAATCTGGTGACCAAGTAGAAGTGCAAGCAGCTTTTGGGAGTGGATTCACGGTAAAGAAAACAGCTGTCTACTTGCTATATGACGAGTCATTTGATGAAGTGATGGAGTCTTCAACACCTGAAGTTGTAAATTTAACTAGCACCAAACACAAATGTGAGGAGGAAGAGGCACATGAATCTATCAGACCTAGAAAGGCAATGAAGATTTGAAATTGGGAAGCTTCTATTTTTGGCTGCGATACTCGTTAAAGCTTTTCCTTTTTTTCAGCCCCATGAAGTCAATATATTTCAGTTCAGAATTAAAACTGATATGTATGGATGGTTCTACGCAAATGATGATTTTCTTCCATCTGTGGCTCTCTTTTTACCGATAATGTGCTGTGATGTCCCTTTTGCTTCTTGCCTTCCTCTTCCTGGCAACAAAATGAAAATGAAATTGTATCAACAATATATAAAAATAAGTACATAGAGCAAAGAAATGTTAGACTAAATTGAGAGGTAGAGGGGATAGAATTGTATTTCTTTTGTATGCTTGATAAAAAAATGAAATCAACTGATATTTCTTTAATTTTTCATTGAAAATTAATGTCGTTTTGCTATAGCGAAGAACAATGACTCTGAATAATGACTCTACATTGTAGAAAAACCTTGTGGAACGGGGGCCAAAAATTGTGGGCCATATTAGTTATGGTATGAGAAATGGAGAAAGCACATTGTTTTGAGATCGTTGAAGCAAAAGCAAGAGACGTTTCTGGAATATCTCGTCGTTTTCACAAGGTAAATTACACATCCATCAGTTGCTAGCACGCTTACCCTGGCGTCAATTTTACCATTTTATTTTTATTGAATCTGATTGGTTGGTGCCAACCAAGAGTGCAGCGTTCGCCGGCATTTAATTTTTGGATGAAGATGAGGTGAACGTGGGCAGCATTTTGGTACGAGAATGAAAGAAGTCATGTGCCCAAGACAAAGTCCATCAATCTGTCACTGTCACTGTCATAGAAGAATTTTAGACTTCTATTTTTCTTCTGTGCCTACTTTCAGTTTATAATCTTTAGAGAAAATGACAATAAAATACCACTTGAATTCTAAAAGGACAAATAAGGGACTTGAATAAGCAAAATGACAAGGAGGTCACTGGAAACCAATCTGGAATTAATATTTTCGGCCAAAAGACCAAAACGCCCTGATGAATGCGGGATGACCGAAAGCTGAAAGTGAGAGAAAGGAGAGAGGAAGACCGACGCAGCGAGAGAAAGGAGAGAGGAAGACCGACGCTGATGAAATGCGGGAAGAAGGAAAGAAGAATGTTGGAAATGCTATTATCTTACTCCTTCGCATCACCATTCTGTAGAGATTGTTGATTTTGGTTGTGGGAAAGAGGATTTGTAGTGAGAGAGGGAGTGAACCGAAGCGGAAATCAGCAAGCAATTACGTAACGTAACTGCTGTGATATGCTTGCTGGTTTTTGGTAAATCCCATTACGTGAATGGTAAATTTCACTATACATGTAGTTAATTATGAATTTTACAAAATACATATTGTGATTTATAACTTTTGTAGTGAAAGTGACTACTTTGTTAATGGGTTTTGCAACCTGTTTTCAGGAGATAAACAACTTGTTTGTAAAAACTAATAAAATTTCACGCTAAATTTGACAAAACGTATAGTGGGATTTACAACTTCCGTAGTAAAAATGACCACTTATTCAATGGGTTTTGTAACTTGTTTTCAGGGATGGGCAGCTTGTTTCTAAAAACTAATAAAATTTCCTACTAAATTTGACAAAACACATAGTGAGATTTACAACTTTCGTAGTGAAAATTACCACTTCTTAAATGAGTCTTGCAACCTCTTTTCAAGGAATTGGCAACTTGTTTCTAAAAACCAATAAAATTCCATGCTGAATTTTACAAAATATAGAGTGATATTTACAACTTTTGTAGTGAAAATTACCACTTCTTAAATGAGTTTTGCAACCTCTTTTCAGGGGATGAGCAACTTGTTTCTAAAAACCAATAAAATTCCATGCTGAATTTTACAAAACACACAGTGATATTTACAACTTTTGTAGTGAAAAATTACCACTTCTTAAATGAGTTTTACAACCTCTTTTCAGGAGATGAGCAACTTGTTTCTAAAAATCAATAAAATTTGATGCTGAATTTTACAAAACACACAGTGATATTTACAACTTTTATAGTGAAAATGACCACTTCTTAAATGAGTTTTGCAACCTCTTTTCAGGGGATGAGCAACTTGTTTCTAAAAATCAATAAAATTTGACGCTGAATTTTACAAAATACACAGTGATATTTACAACTTTTATAGTGAAAATGACCACTTCTTAAATGGCTTTTGCAACCAGTTAATTCAACGTGACTACAAAAGTTGTCACTTTTATTAGTTTTTACAAACAAGTTGTTTATCTCCTGAAAACAGGTTGCAAAACCCATTAACAAAGTAGTCACTTTCACTACAAAAGTTGTAAATCACAATATGTATTTTGTAAAATTCATAATTAACTACATGTATAGTGAAATTTACCATTCACGTAATGGGATTTACCAAAAACCAGCAGGCATATCACAGCAGTTATGTTACGTAATTGCTTGCTGATTTCCGCTTCGGTTCACTCCCTCTCTCACTACAAATCCTCTTTCCCACAACCAAAATCAACAATCTCTACAGAATGGTGATGCGAAGGAGTAAGATAATAGCATTTCCAACATTCTTCTTTCCTTCTTCCCGCATTTCATCAGCGTCGGTCTTCCTCTCTCCTTTCTCTCACTGCGTCGGTCTTCCTCTCTCCTTTCTCTCACTTTCAGCTTTCGGTCTTCCCGCATTCATCAGGGCGTTTTGGTCTTTTGGCCGAAAATATGAATTCCAGATTGGTACCCAGTGCCTTATTTGTCATTTTGCTTATTCAGGTCCCTTATTTGTCCTTTTAGAATTCAAGTGGTATTTTATTGTCATTTTCCCTAATCTTTATTTCAAATTGAGCACTGAGATCTCTGAATTGGTTGTGACTGTGCACTTTGTAAGGAATTGAAAGACACGTAACGAAAAATAATTTTAAAATTTTCTAATCCCTTGTCCGGATCTACCGATTGTATTTAAGTCAAGTAGTAAGAGGTTTTACCTACGGTATTCGAATCGTTAGTGGCTCGGGGATTCCGATGTTCAGGATGCCTATGCTCTCCTTTTGTTTGTGAGAAGTCGACAACTTAGATCGGCTTCCTCTACCGGTATCTACATGAACAGCATTCCAATCACAAACGACGTGCTAGCGCCTCTTATCCTTCTAGGGCTTTTCAGAGAATCCGTCCTCACCGTTTCTATTTTGGCCGTTTCTTATCTGCAAACCTTTTGCACTCTCACACACCTCTAAACACCCTAGCTCCTAACTATCAAATATATAGGATGCTATCGGTATTATGAAGGATATTAGATTTCAGAATTAATCCTAAATTAATTCCGAAATTAATACAATATCATATATTGCGTAATCTGATAAGAAATCAATTAAATAAATACGGTTTATGTTAAATCCGTCCCACAGATTTAATTCACCTATTCATTTAATTCAAAATAAAGATATGACGGAATTATATTTGATTTATTCTAATAAATCAAATTTGAGATATTATATTATACTATATCAATCCAGAATTGATATAGATTTAATTTATCCCAATAAATCAAATCTAAGATATCATATCAATCTAAATTTCAAATTTAAAAGTGATAGAGTTTAATTTATCTTTATAAATCAAATCTTATAAATATCTCTTATATCATATAATATATATATATACGCGAATTTATATATATATACACGTCCACCCTAGATTATTCATTGAATCTGGACATATCTTAGATTCAATGAATCTGGATATCGTCGCTCGTGTTGGGCTATTTTGTGTGTGACCCTATAAGCCCATATGAAGTTGGCAGTGTGCCATTTATTATAATGACTCACAAGTCGTAAGCGGTCTCTAGCAAGACATCACGACTACCCAAATCATATAAGGATCGACGAACGATGTAACATTTCATATAACCATATTATGTCCCTTTTGTCACATGACATTTTGGTCATGGATGAGGCATGGAGAACGTCATCCTCCCATTTCTAACCGTTACTTTCTCGATCCCTGAGTAGTCTGAGTATAGAAATGGAACTTCCTTTCCATTATAGTATGACCATACATTTCTCAGACTCACTCATCGAGGGGCCCAGTAATATCTCTCTACGAATGTGAGGGACAAATTCCATATTGACCATTCATATTCCTCCATATGAAAAACCACTAAGCCTGAACATAGTCTTTATGATCACTCGGTCAAAAGTGACTTTTGACTAGGTCAAAGTTGAGCGTTTCTCATGTAGAAATCCATGATGATCTCAGGTCAAATGGCATAGTGACGTGGTTTGAATATAAGAGAAGCTTATGACTTAACCCATGCAGCTTTCTCATAGCGGGTTGGTCCAACACCTTGTACTCTTACATGTGCCTATAACTTTGATTTATATCTCTATACATCTTCAAAGTCATACTGGTCTTATTTCATCTCTGCTCTCACATAGATGACCGATCAGGGACATTTAGGATAAAATCATGAGTTATCCAAGGATAGTCATCACAGTAAACATGCAAATAATATGATAACATAATTAAGAAATTCATAAATCAATAATGTTTATAACACAATGATTGGCCCCTAAGACACAATTTCCAACACACTTCAGACAAGATTTGTATCCATTCTGTTCCGAGTCTGATAATTTGGGAAGGCAAGGCAACTTTCAAAAATAAAAGGACATATATTCATGGCGTTATGTTATAATTATCCCATTACTTATATTGAGGTCGTCGCTTTTTAGGATCTAACCTAGACAATTATTTATGCCATGGTTGAACTGTGATCATATGACCTCCTTTCTTTTCTTTCCAGTACAAAGGTTCCGTTATTATCCGTGGAAGCCATATTCACCACCTGCATATTTGTATTTTTTCTGGATGTCGTCCATGTAAACTATTGGGGTCTGACCGTTTTCTTCGGAGGATTGAAAGTGAGTATCTTTTGGACAACTCTGTAACTACATATTTGTGCTCTTCACTTTCTTTCTTTATTAATAATTTATCTGAGGATGAACCTTGAAGCAACAATAAGGTTGCAGGCATGTATTCCTAGAGATCATAAGC